GATTGGATCGAAGTCACGATAGCTCAAGTGGTAGAGCAGCTGTGTATTTAGCCGAAGGTCGAGGGTTCGAATCCCGCTTGTGACACTAGTTTTTCTTTCAACCAATACCTTACATAACGATTAATTAATTGAGTGAAATTTGTTGTTAGAAATATTTTCTAATGTTATTCCAGATCAATTAGATTGATTGTAAATTCGGTATCACTATTCAAATGAAATAAGCTTGTTGTATTTTAAGTTCAATCATGGGCCGACGTGATGATGTCCTTTTTTTACTTATTATATTGAAAGCTAATAGTAATTATATCAGAGGTAATTGTTGTTATAAGGTTTATTTATAAGGCATTTCATCAATTAAAATCAACATTTGGATTGCTTACATTCGAAAGCTCAATTACGCTTAATCTTGAAAAATGAACCGTTTCTTTACATAATTATTTGTTACTCAAGAATCACTGGATGCTGTTGTTAGCCAAAAAGAAATCTAAAGACAAGAGGTAGAACTATTGTATAAAACTAAACGGAGGTCTAAACTTTATTTCTAGTTTTATTGCAGTCACAAAACTTAAACATTTCAAATTAAATAATGTGTTGGTTGAGACAAAAAAGTCAGTGTTAGATGCGGGATTCGAATTGAATAAAGAATAAATCGGATAAATTGAAAAGAATTTATTTGGTCAAGCGGACCACGAAACCTAATAAAATTTCAAATTAATATAATGCAATAATTAAGATTCAAAAGAAACAGCGTTCAGTTTTTTAACACAAAACCTTTGCAAGTTTCGTGGAAAACCTCCCCTTCATGAGTCAGATTATTTTTATGCAAATAGGTCTAAGGTATAAACTGAATTAAACACAAACTCGATATTATTATTAACATTTTTTATTTATTAGTATTTATCATATTTTTTTAATTGGCATATCCGAAGTAAAGGATAAATCTACAGGACATGCAATACTAAAAATTTGAGTGGACTATTCTTGGGTCAAATAATAACTTTATTAGTTTTACCTTTGTAGAGTGGACGAGAACTGAACATTGAATAAATTGTGTTAAATAAATTGTAAAATGCTTATTATATTTTTGACCTAGACGTACGAACTGCTCACAACTATTGTGCAATTGTAATTTTAATTATACTGTGTATGCGCAATGACATCAAATAGAGAAAGAAAAAAAGTAACAGAGATAGAGAGAGAGAGAGAGAGTGAGAGAGAGAGAGAGAGAGAGAGAGAGAGAGAGAGTGAGAGAGAGAGACAGGAACAGGAAAAGAGAGACATACAAACTAAAAGAATGAGAGTTACACTATTAGATAGAAAGAGGAAAAAGAAGAGAGATAAAGAGGGATACTAAAGACAAAATTTATGGCTTAAGGAAGGAGAGGTAGATTAATCGAATGAAGATAGACAGAAAAGTCGAGATTCAAGTAAAAGACAAGTGTGAGTGAGTCAGAGATACAGAAAGAGATAGAGATAGATAGATAGATAGAGATAGATAGATAGATAGATAGAGATAGAGATAGAGATAGAGAGAGAGAGAGAGAAAGAGAGAGAGAGGGAAAGGGAGGCATACATACCAAAAGAATGAGAATTCAACTATAAGATAGAAAGAGGAAGAAAAAGAAAACAGATAAAGAGAAATACTGAAGACAAAATTTATGGCATAAGGGAGGAGAGGTAGATTAATCGAAAGTGGATAGACACAAAAGTTGAGATTCAAGAAAAAAGAGTAGTCTGAGTGAGTCGGAGAGAGAGAGAGAGAGGGAGAGAGAGAGCGAGTGAGAAAAAGAGAGAGAGAGAAAGAGAGTGAGAGTGAGGTAAGTGAGAGAGAGAGAGAGAGAGTAAATGAGAGAGAGAGAGAGAGTAAATGAGAGAGAAAGAGTAAGTGAGAGAGAGAGAAAGAGAGAGAGTGAGAATGAGAGAGGGGGAGAGAGAGATAACATTACAACAAAGGGGTAAACTGAAAAGTTATTATAAAACCTTAACCCCCTAATATTTCAAGTTTAATAGAATAAAACTTGACCGTTCAAAATAATTGATGAAAGCATTATTTTCAATGTACCCTTCTCGTTCCAAGCGAATTTATCGTTGTTACATTGTAAGAAATAAAGTTATTATCGTGATTCAAGGAGATAAAATTAGCTACAGAATTGTAGCTACACATCTTCATATAATTGCTTCACAAAATGTCCATTTACTTTAAATTTAATAGATTCGACGAAATCTGAAGGAATACTGTTTGGTTTAGAGGATTAGGGAAACGGGATGGCGAAGAAGGTAGGGAGGATTTAAAAATCATAAGATATCACCCTATGAAAATTCATCCGGTTGAAAGTTCCGCAGTTAGCGTTTATCTCTATTTTCACACTAAGACGGGGAAAAAACATTTAGCGTTTCCAGCAGTTCGAAAATAAAATACACCAGGGTTAGATGGATTTCCGTCCCCCCTCATCGGAAACTCAATTATAGGATTTATTTCCTTCCATGCCGTTTTGCTTTGTGTGTACAGTCGCTGCTATTTTAAGAAATTAATAAACCAAGAGCGGTCCGAAGTACCCTCAGTGTTGATTGCCGGTTCGGATCGATTCGACCCCAGGCTATTTTTACAGGGAGCAACTTTTCTGAATCGTCTACTGACGGCAAGGGTTAGATTTACGCCCACCCTTGTACTATCCTCATATATTAAGTTAGCAGGGTTTTAAACCTTTCAGCACCTATTTGCTCTTGTATTTCTTTATAAATCAAATCAGTGCCGGGATCAGGGTTGTACGTCAAGTTGAATAAATTAAATTATGGTACATACATTAATTTTTTTTAAATTGTGTCCTCATTTATAAGTTTCTAATATTAATAAAAGGTAGAAATAATTTTTTAACAAATACTTACACTCTCGTTAGTCCGGCGGATATTAAAAATTCATCGAAACAATTAAGCTGGAATGAATGGCAAAACAGATGGAACGCCCTGATTGAAAAAGTAAAGGTGATAAAACCGACAGTCAAACCTTGGATCCCTGAAATTTTCAAAAAAAAAGAACGATTAAGGATAGGCCATACCCGCCTAACACATGGACATCTTCTCATCGGCAAGAGAACGAAGAAATGCCCCATGTGCAGCGCAAATGTAACAGTAAGACATATTTTAGAAAAATGCGAACAACTAGCGCCACACAGAGCACGGTGTGGCCTTCCCAATGACATAACAAAATTATTAAGCACAACAGTGATTATAAACGAAAGGTTATTGATTACCTAAAATTATTCAAAGCTATATATAACCCACCACACGTATATCCCCCCCCCATTTGTATGAATCTATTTATTTGCGTGAGTTCGAAGTATGCATGGGTATGTCTGACGGAATTTCGAGAACTCACAGGCCCACCAAATTAGTATAGGTACGTATATATATTTGTAGTATGATGTGAGGGACGGGTCATTGGCATTTCGTTAGTTCTATACTTCCGAAGTGTAGTGACCTGTTCAGAATGAATGTATTTATTAGCGCGAGTGGAGATGCGTGAAAGGACGTGGCTGTCGAGGAATATCGAGCAATCCACGGAATCGTCAACCAATTTAGGATGGATTAGTGTATGAGTGGAATTTGTAAATACTGTTTGAATGTATTTATTAGTGTGAAAGAAAGGAGGCCGCAAATTAGATAACGTATCTCCTATTAGGTGAATCTGAAGGCAACAGTCGTTTAGTTTGGGCATAAGAAGAGTTAGAAAAGAAAGTGCTCATAAAATAGCTAAGATGACAAATGTGAGAAGGCTGACCCTGGTAGTTAGCCGGCAAAAAAAGTTAAATATTTAAAAATCTTTTTGTCTAAGTAGCTTTTGGTAATTTACGTCCTTTCAAAATGAGCGAAGTTTTTAGCTTATCACCCCCTAATTTTATGTTGTATTTCTTATTAAACGAAACCCGCGAATAATTTATATTGCAATAGTATCATTTGTTACAAACTGAACTAATTAAAATAATCTAATATTATTTAACTATTATGAAAGCCTTAATAAAAATAATAATAAAAGTTATTATAAACAATTAGTAATGTTAAAAGTCGAGCAGTAAAACCTGGATTTTTCGTAGTAAAATATATGTGTAATAATATATGATTGAATATAATCTAATTTTGTTATTATGTATATTGTACATTTATAGAAATTTATGTAAAACTGTATTTTAGTTTGGTCGTCACTGATCATCCTGGTCAGCAGATCCTTGCTTGTTCGCTTGTTTAAACGTTAAACCTGGGAGGATTAGACCAGGATGATCGAACATGATTAAGCTGTAGGTTCATCACCTCCCAGACCCCAATAATACATCTTCCACATCGTTACAAAATATATATTACACTGTGGTCAAAATATGAGCCGAACATGTAATGATCTTTTGTTTTTATTAATTATTAATATTGATCCATTTATGTTTTATTTAGGAGTCAATTGACCATGTTACTTCTTTCAATGGATTATTCTTTTTATGTAAGGTCTTGGTTGAGATGAAAAATTTAGTGTCACGAGCGGGATTCTACGTTACGTTAGCTCAATTGGTACAGCAGCGGAGTATTGAGCCGAAGGTCGTGGGTTCGAATCCCGCTCGTGACACTGACTTTATTATCTCAACCAAGACTTTACATAAGAAGAATCATTATTAATATTATCCAACCTACGGTGGTTTGAGGTTTTAAAAAACTTAAAAAAACATAGGTACAAAATGTCGGCCTATTCTGGCTGGCAAATAGTGTTAAATAACTTACAACTAAATATTTAGTTCATCAATATATATTTCTAATTAAATTTTAATTGAGTTTGTCTCAATGTTCAAGCTGTTTTTCTGTTTGGTATGATAAATAAAAAATATTATTTACTGCAATTTACTTTTTGATAAGTCCACTCTGTAGACGCAAAGGACAATTGTAGACTTTACAAATAAAAGGTGCAATATTGATATTTATTGCCGTTATCTTTAATAAAAAGAAGTTATTTTTTGTTTCAGAAAAACAAAGACGTTATGACGGAGCTAATTTCCAACTGCAAGATGAAAAACGGTGAGTCCAACACGTAATCTTTATCTTTTTCAAGTTTCCAGACGAACGAACGAGAAGAAAAACAAAGCCGGCCAATTGGTCAGATAATAAAAAACGCACGGTAGATTAACTCAGAATAAAGAAACGTCATAAACCCCGAATTAATATCGTTTTCAAATATTAAGGGAGCCGAAGCTCATTCCAATTTTCGTTTTATAACCCGCGGGGTATTCAAGTTAGGAAAATGAAGGTAGATTCAGGCAAAGCGATTACTCTTTGAGGGCATTTGCCCATGAAAAGGGAGAAAAGAAATACGGGCAGCCTTCATCCCACTGGTTCTTTTAGCAAGGACTCTTTACTGCCACCGACCCCAGCCGCTGTAATGTCCCTATGAAATGCTAAACGTGTTACCAGTCAAGTTCGCTTATTTCCAACTAAACAGGCTTTCAAAGGAATTTATTATTCTTTGTATTCCGCCGCCTCAATTATGGAAATTAGCCACCGGTAGAGTCGATATCCTTCTTAAAAAAATACCTTGAAAGTAGGAAAAAGACAACAAAAATATAATAAAAAAATACTAATGTTAGATTTATAAAACAATGTTATGTCAGTCGAAATAAACATATAAAACAACAATTTTTTAAGCATTACATATGACTATGTATGCATAGCATGGTATTTGAATATAAAACTTCAGGCATAAGGTGAATTTGAAAAAAGTAAAACACTGTTCTTTCATCAAGCTTTCGATAAACATTCTTCTTTCATCAGGACCGTATGGTGATTAGTGACCGTTAATCGATAATTATTGAGAAATCGTGAGATGCGGTCTGGTGTGATGTAGGTTTCAGGAAAACATTTTCTTTATCGTGCCAACGTTTCGATCTTTATTGAGATCATCTTCATGGCCTGGGATTTACAAACATTGTTTACATTTAACAAATACACGTAGGATGTGGGAAAAAGTGAATTTATACAATGTAAAATATATTTTTTTATATTCATTTGAAGTATTTCTACTCACTGAAAGTGTTATCTTCTGTGTAATTGTGCCATTCTTGTCGTGTTGAGAGTGCCAGTGAGATATTGCTGTTTTCTGAGACCTATATCACGCCAGACCGCATCTCACGATTTCTGAATAATAATAATTTTCATCAGGACGTTGACAGTATTTATGATTTATACAGTTAGAAAATATAAACTTAATCCATATTTGTTTAATGGTCAAAATTGATTCTTTTTATCTAAGGGTTTTGGTTTAGTCACAGCAGCTCAACTGGTTAGAGCAGCGGCGTATTGAGCCAAAAGTCGTTGGTTCGAATCCCATGACAGCTTGTGACACCATTTTTTCATCTTACCCAAAAACCTTAGTTTAAAAAAATTAACTGAAATAAACTTAATATTCAAAATTCTGGCTTCAAATACATATAATGAATTAATGATTTTAGTTTAGTAGAGCGGACGAGCCTCAAGAAGTAGTATCGAGTACTCTGGGGGAGTGAATATGACCAGACTTATATGTTTGTATCGGGTGTTGTGTTTATCTAATTTATTTGAATGAATGTAATTTATTAGCGTGAAAGGAAGGGTGGTTTAACCCCGCCCCCAGGAATATCGAGTTCTGGGGCGATGGTGGCCGCAACGGTTTAGGCGTTGGCACGGCACTTATCACTGTAAGGTAAAGGTCCCGGGTACGAATCTAGCGGCCCTGCATTCGAACCCGACATATATACAAACGATTTTTTTTTCAAAAACACCGCCACCCAGAGGGTTTATATGACCTCTGCTGTTGCGTTTAGGGATGGTTAGGGATGGTTATGGATGGTCGCCTATCTAGGGAGTACGCGAGGGGGGGGGACGGGCTGATGTATTTCGGCCCGTTAGCCCCTCGCGTGCGGCGTACGACCCGACGCACAATGCGGGCCCGACCATTCGGAGTGGACAAGCGGAGAGCGTGGCTACTGACCCTTAGGGGCCGGGACACCACTACACCAATGCTGCGGCGGTAACACTTTTCCGTCGTATGCAGAAGTGCGTCAGCTCTCATCTTGAGAATCAAAACGTCCGATAAGGCCGTATAGGCTAGGTGCGGACGTTAAAGATCCTCTTGTCTTGTTGACGATGAGTAAATCGGGAACGCATGTTGCGAACCTTCGTGAAAAAAATATCGAATACCTGGGAAGAGTACATCTGGAGAGTAAAAGTAGTTATTAGCGAGAGTGGAGTGGGTTCAAACCCTCCCCATGGACTATCGAGTACTCTGTGTACTCTTCGATGTTTGCGCTTATACATACATACTCGATAACCTGAGGTACAGATTAGAATCTAGCATTTTAGGAATCGACTCAAATTTCATATAAAAGCAGTCAGTAACAGATTGCGCAAACTGCTGTAGGTTGAAAAATAAATACGCGTGAAAGACCAAGAAAATAAAACACGCAGAGGGCCGGCGATGACATGTGCTGTTTTTGACCCCTCAAGTTACCACCATTATATATAAATATTAAAAAATGAAATTGGATTAATCTAACCTGAGTGCAATATTTAAAACAGGGCATCGAAAGCATTGTAATTCGCTAATAACAAAAACTAAAATATTCTAGTAAACACTTAAATTGGAAAAAGAAAAAAATATTTAAATATTTGCTTTTGCTCTCAGGAAAAAACGACAGTTGTAAATAGCGAATATATTGATAAATTCAAAAAATATTGAGACTGTATTATTATTATTTTCCAAAAGTATTGCTAAAATCGACGCTTGTTTTTTGTATGTCATATTCAGCGATTCCGTAAACGTAACGTCTATTAATTTCAACGTTACTTATTTATTTTGCATCGTTATGTTTACCGTTTATTTTTTGTTTTTACGTTTTGTGTGATTAAACACTTTTTAGTTAGATAGCAATTCAGTTACTAGTTAAACCATATTTTTATTTATTTAAAGGATGTCGTTTTATAATAATGAAAACAAATGTCATGTAAAATCTATTTACACATAAATAACTACACGATGTCCTTTTTAACGAGCGCCCGCAAGTGTTTTTTTTATATTTTGAACACATACAATTGAACAATGTTAATCTTATAATTTTTGCGCAGATTCCAAAACTGTCGTCCAATTTTTTTCGACGTCAATTTTTTTATATTTCAAATGAGACCCCCAAATTATTATTTTTTTCTGATTTTCTTCTACATTTTATCTGAGAAGAATGAATATCAAATCTTTGGAACACCCCCAAAATTGACGGCTCTAGGATTTTGAAAAGCATAGAGTTGGAAGATTTTTTTTTAACTTAAAATATTTTCCAGTGAGAATCTAGTTTCATCATTTAAAAAGAATTGTCCAATTAACATAAGCAAATTAACCAAGAAATCCAGATTAAAAAAAATTGTCTGTTCAAATTTTCTTATTTATTCACATCAATCGTGACTTTTTATCGCCACATCCGAAGCAGGGGAATAAAGAAAATGACTTGCAAATAAAATTTTTGAATAAAGTTTTTCTGTTTTAAATTTTTGCACGGAAAAAGTAATGGAATAATAAATTTGTTCAAATGATGCAGATAGCCTGTCTGATTTTTCTTCTAATTTTTTTCTGAGAAGAATGAATGTCAAAATTTTGGGACATCCTCCAAAATTGACTGCTCGAGGATTGTTTGAAAATATTAACAAATTAAAGGTGGCGTCGGTGGCCGGAACGGTATAGTCGTTGACACGGTGCTCAACATTGTAAGGTAAAGGTCCCGGGTTCGAATCCAGCGGCCCTGCATTCGACTTTAAAAATGGACTTTTTTTCAAAAACACCGGCACGCTGAGGGTTTATATGACCTCTGATGTTGGGAACCCTCGTAAAAAAATAAAATAAATAAAAAAATTAACAAATTAAGGAAATTTTCCTGGAAATGTTTATTAAACGCGAGTTTCCATATCCTTTCTTTCCCCATGAGGTCGGTAGGTAAACATAATAATAATAAAAAACTTTAAACACAACCATTTCTCATTACAAAAATTTGAGAAATTGCTTACTTGAATATAATTGTATATACGCATAGAGTTGGAAGATTTTTTTTTAAATTAAAATATTTTCCATTGAGAATCTAGTTTCATCATATTTAAAAAGATATGTCCAATTAACAAAAGAAAATTAACCAAGAAGTCCAGATGAAATTTAAAAAAAATATTTATCAGTTCAAATTTTCTTATTTTTTCACCTGTTTTTAATTGTCGCATCTGATGTACGGGAATAAATAGAAAGACTTGCAAATAACATTTTTGAATAAAGTTTTTCTTTTCTAGATTTTTGGACGGAAAAATTAATGGAATAACAAATTTGTTCAAATGATGCAGATAGCCTTTTGTCCTTCAAGCAAAAGTTTAGCCTGTCGGCTGTCTAATTTAAGGGAAGAGTATACAATTGTTTGAACATTTTAAACCAGGTCAAACCAGATAAAGCGTTTTGAACAGTCGGAATGTTCAGTTTTTATTGTTGTTGTGTTGTTACTTTTTACCTTAGGTGGAAAAGGCCTGAGTGGAAATGGTAAAACTTCATCCTCAGTGTTGCTGTTCTGTATTATTTATTAAAAAAAGAAAGCGAAATTCTAGTATTATAAATAAAACGTTCAGATCTAATTATTTTGAATATAAATATTTAACAAGGAAACTCCCCAGCTTTCAAAACAATAAATTTTATTATTTAACTGTTTTATCTATAATGTTTTTCTCGCGAGTTATTTTTAAATGGACCGTTTTTATCGACCACCGTGTAAATATTAGTTCACATTTTAATCTGATCTTTAAAGTTACCCGGCTCAGAAAACTCCATGGAAAAGGTAAAAGTATTGAGGAATATCATATCTTTATTGTACTTTGCCCTTCGATTGTTTAATTTCTCTTAGTTATAATGTGATAATATTTTATAATAATTTAGTTATAATATTGTATAATAATTCTGTTGTTAATTAATTTTACGCGTTGTCGACTCTGGGAGAAACCGCGTTGATTGAAATGTAAATAGGCCCTTA